CATGTAATATAAAAATAAAGTGATTTAATTTATTTATTAACATCTAGCAATTTACCTATTATTTTTTCTTTACTGGTACACGGCGGGCATAAAAATAATGATTTTCATTGTTCAAAACACAATGACTAAATCTAGCCCACAGCTATTAGAATTTGGACCGTCGCAAATTATATTATTTTGAATTCAAATAAAATAAGCTAAGCTTTTAAACACAAAAACACACAAAAAAGTACTCTGCTGCTGCCTGGATCTCATCAAGCATGAAAGGCTCTCTTCACAGCATTTTCCCCTCCAGGCTGTCTCAATGAAACAACTCTAATTCATCTAGTAAGCATATTTTAATTTACAAATGTTATTAACGTGACACATCTTAATAAAACCTTTTCAAAAAAAATAACCTAACTGGGGCAGTGGGAAGACAAAGAAAAATGAATGTCAGGCAAAAAAAATTTTAAAAGTACAGTATATGTTGGATTCTGCCATTAATTTGGGCTCTGGAGAGTCCGTTTGTTCCTAATATGAAACACTGAAAATGAAGAGAGAAAAAAAGTTCAAGCCAATTTGCATAGAATACAAAAAGAAATCCCCTGAAGCATGAAAATCAGCTGGAGAATGAGCCATTAGAGTGCGTCACACAGTTTTTAGAAAGAAAACCATAAGCAAATATGGAAATATTCCACTGAATTCAAATGAGAACTAGTGCACAGTTTCATCTTATTAATAAGGCAGCTTGGCCTCTTGTGAGCGTGTGAATATAGAATGGGACCTTGATTTAAACCCACTGTAAACCTGAGCTCCAAAGTCATTTTGATTCCAATTTGTGGAGCTATCCATGAGCCATGTGGCTTAATGCCTTATATTTAAAAATGTAACAGAGTTTAGGACCTGTAAACGGCGCTGCTTAGAGCGTTTTTTATCTCAAGAAGAGGGAGCTGCTGCCACGTTGCATCACACAGCCTCAGTGGGAAATGTGTTTTTCACGCCTGTTTTCCTCTCTACTACATTTCAGCGTTTGCCCTCGCAGACACTGACCAACAAACCACAGGGAGCTTGATTACTGTTTTTTTAAATGAGACAAAGTGAGTTACTGTTAAAGTATCCAAGTATCTAAATAGCTGAGTAATGAGGCTGCCATCTGACCCGGTCACATCATCAGTCTAAATCCTATCGACGGGACCAAAACAAATTGTACAGCCGAAAGGTACTTGTTATCACACTCGCTCGCTCTCCAGAACACTCTCCTCTCGCACCCTCTCTCGCCCTTCCTCTTCCTCTCCACTCTTTCATGACTAGCTAATGAATGCAGATGGTGCTCTAGGGGATGCAGTGGTCTTATTACAGGGGTTATGCGTGCACGCTGTAAGCCCAGCGTGCTCCCGTCAGGCTATGGTGAAAGGTTCAATTGCTTTGGCGAAGCCCCCACCTCAATAAACAGAGGGGCTAAAGAGGTTTGTTTATTGGGCCCACCTTGACTTGACCTCTGTAGCTCAGGGACCCGCTCCATGATTACCTAAGTGTCACTGCAGCCCGGGGAGAACAGGGCCAGGCTACTTGTGCTGGCCCCCCCTCTCTCGCTCTTTCTCTCTCTTCTAATAAATCACAGGAATAAGCGCACAAACCACAAGAGCGGGACAAATGCAAAACCAAAGAGACAGCAATGTAAGCCTGAAGATTAAATGGTTTATCCAACATGTTTGCAGTCAAACAAGTGGGATTTACTACTCTACTCTCAGGCTACAATAATCAAATATATTCAGAAAATATTGAAGGTATTGATTAGATTATCACATGAGAAGGTGAAAAGTAAACATGTGATTCCCCATCAATGATGCAGAGTTGCAGCTGCCAAAAGTATGTGGACACCAGATCATTATACTGGTGTGATTATCTAACACCTGAAACTAAATCCATTCTGCTCTAACAGCCTCTGCTCCTCTGAGAAGGCTTTCCACAAGATTTTGGAGCCTGGCTGCAGGGATTTTCTCCTATTCAGCCACAACAGCATTAGTGTGGCTGGGCTACTGATGTGGGCCGCCGATAAGGCCAGGCTCACAGTCGGCGTTCCAGTTCATCTCAAAGGTGTTGGATGGGGTTGAGGTCAGGGCTCTGCGCAGGCAAGTCAAGTTCTTCCACACTGAACTTAGAAAAACATTTCTTGATATCAATTTGTGCACAAGGGCATTGTCATTTTGAAGCAGCATTTCCCAAATGTCTGTCCTTAATGTGAACTAAGGGGCTTCAAAGCAGGAAAAGCAAGTATATCACAGTGTGGACAAGGCTGTCCACTTACTTTGTAGAATAATTTACTTCATGTTTTCATTGTATTTATTAGAGGTGCTTTTTACTGTTTTCACATTAAAGATGCTGAGCATAATATACACTCTACATCCCATCTATATTGGACTGTTTTTTCACACTGGAAAAGGGACAAAATTAAGAGATGTCAGAATGCATACTAATTTCCCAATATGTTTGAGTTTGCTGTTGATGGATTGTATACAGTATGTGTTATATAATATTTGTGTTAGTATATGTAGACAAATTGAACTAACTTTACTATTTTGTACAAACTTAAAAGAAAAAAAGAAAAGATGTGCCAAGAAGAGTCAATCATGCCACTGCAAATCAAACTTATTAAAGATTTTATATCTATGTTTCTGTTTGTTGAGCTGTTCTAGAGATGTTTCATCATCATCCACAATTTGTTTTAAATGTTTTGTGTCATCTATTTCCTTTGTGCCTTGCATTGTGGAACAACAGCACTCTCAAAACTGTCTTAGTATGCATACTGACCTTGTTTTAAAGTATACTTGTCAGTGTGAAAACAATACATACTCAAAACGTCTTCACAATCAGTATGTAGAATGAATAGCTTAAGTAGTTGTTTTTACACCTGTATATATTTTATCTTGTCATAGAGCAAGAAACTCAGAGGTGTAATTAATAACTTCAATGATGGGTCTGTTGCATTTAATGTCCCAGGAATCAGTCCCACAAACGGCAGATACCCACTGCCTTCTGCTACCAATGTGCAGACCAAACACGTACGTTTCCTGCCATGACATGCCAAAATATCTGGGAAGAAAAAGTTCTATTCTCTCACAGTATGAAACAGAAAAGATGTGTACAGATGGAAAAACCTGAAAGTGGTTGCGGGCAGTGCTGAAACAGCACTAGGACCATCTCAGAAACAAAAACATTACGTAGTAAATCTTTTGAAGAAACACACAGCTTCCTGATTGTTAACTTTCCAAATTTTACACCAGCAGCAGCTCCCCAAAGCTGCAGTTTTATTGACGTCTCTGAGTACAAGCCTTGTATTATTTCTTGTTAGTACACAACAGTAAATTATATTCATTTCTTGAATATGTAAAGGCTAGTTTAATGTGCATACTTCAATAGAGTGTGGATTTGGGGCAGCAACAGAAAAGTATGTGTGGTACAGTGCAGGCTCAGGCCAGTAAGTTTCAAATAATGGAACATTCACATATTACACATACACAACACATAAACCCTGACTCTTAAACATCTAATTGTCTTCCATGTCCCCTAGTACAGGTAAATCTGAAATGAAGCCATTAAATGGTAAAATTATTCAGCAGCAGGTGAAATCGAAAATTAGGCTGACAGAGAGATAATTCTGCTGTCACAGCTCTTTCCTCTTCTGTCTTCGACTTGGTTTGAAACACACCTCGACAAGGCGCATGCTAGGATGCATTTTGTTTCATATAATGTGCATCATCTCCCCATGCAGTCTATCCTGTCATGGTTTTGATGCCCTATCAAAGTCTCTTGCTGGTGATGTTTTGTTTTCAGTTAACGTGGAGTTGTTTCCCTCTAGCCATTGTGTGCTGTTTGTCCTCCAGTGGAATAAAGCTCATTATATCAATGTGTAGTCACAGTTTCTACCGATATGCCAAGGGATCAGGCCATCTCACCATTAAGGGAAATCTCTTTGAAAGGTCTTGTCCCCTGCGACATACACACACACACACACACACACACACACACACACACACACACACACACACATACTGTACTGGCATTACATTTTCCATGTCATGCTTCACTCGCATGACTGCTTAACTGCTGAATTCCCATGTGCACATAATGCAGCCGTACAGTACATCTTTGCCTTGCTGGTGAGCAGAGAAACCAAGAGAGCTCGGCTAATTATATCGGTTTCTTTTTAAAAAGTCAGTGAGGTGAACTGTGGTCAGCACATGCGAGGGACCTGGGCCGTAAAGAACTGGTTGTGATATACTGTGACCGATGCTATGCTGCACTAATTCAGAAAGCAGTCAGTGAGAGAACTTAACTGTAATCCACCTGAATCACCCTACACATGATGTATTTACAATTTACTGATGCAGTATAAATTGTATCATATTTTTTACGATGCAGCTTGCTATCTCTTATTGTGATGATTTATTGTTCTGTGTATACAATGCCTCTAAAAACGTATCACGCTTTACTTATCACAGCTTAAAATGCTGCATCCTTCCAAGTTTGTTCTCTAAAAGCAGTTAACCAGAAACAGAATGATTTTAATGACTCCACATACATGGCTGGTGACTGAGTGGTTGTAGGTTTATTCGTATGCAGGGACAATCAATGAGCAATGCTCTGTCTTCTCTCAACAATGTCCATTAAAGTCTATTCAGCAGGACACTTAAATTATGGTACAAGTATAGTACTAAACTACAGTACCAGTGTACTGTATGTATAATTTCTTTGTTTATCTTTTGAATGATATTAATGACCATTAAATATCCGTCCTGCTAATGTATTTTTCACAGTCTGATGCTGCTGCTGTCTGTTCTCTTGCCCTCCTAGAAGTTAAAAACTCCCTTAGTTTTCAAAATACAATAACAACTGTTTAAGAAAATTACAACAATATCTTATGCTTCTCCAGTGGACCTGTTGATCTAGTAGCAGTTTTCCTTTTCTGTGTTAGCTACCCTGGAAAACAACAATGAGGAACAAATGTAGTGTTTTACCTATGTGGCTTCTGTGTGACGATGCGCTGGTCAGTTGTCCCCAGAGAGACACCATACAGACGGTCAGCAGCAGCGCCCTTCTGCACATGCTCTGTAGGTCCCTCTCCCGCATTCTGGAGAAAAGAAGACAACAACATCATCAGCGGTCAGCAATATCTGTATCACACGAACACTCACATATGCAGGCTGGTTCAGTTGGGCTCATGCCAACAAGCTCCCAACGCTTAGGCTTGGCAGTCAGAGGTGGTCAATTAGAGTAACTCCTGAAATCACAAAGCATGGATCTACAGAGCTTTAACCGGATGCCCTTTCTGTGTTAAGGATAATCCTGCTGAGGGCCATACAACACATGTGGCTATATGCTGCCAGAAGAGGGAAAGTGCCATAACAACTCATATCAGTTTCAGCCTTTTATAAAGACCCGTAAACGTAGCAACCAGTGGATTCTCTGCATCAATTGTTTTGCAGCAAGTTCAAATTTGATTAACTGTGACCTGCAAATTCACACCGTAGAAGAAAAGCAGGTGTTGACCTTTGGGAAAAGAGAGCAGAGACCAACATGGAAGAAACTATCATAGCATGTGCCTCCACCCCAATACAATGGAGGTAAACATTTCAGCTCACCTGACTATCACATCTGGCTATTTAAATAGCCAAGTGGAGAGAAGGTTGTGGCGTATTTGGGGGGAAGGGGAAGTTCTACAACACGATTATAATATGCATCAGCTAAAATGTGTTTAATTAGTAATTATTAGAATAATTATCAAAAATTAATTAGTTGTATTTGTAATTACTGTATCAATTCTGTAACTTATAACATATTTTCATAAAATTATTAGATATGTTGTGTCCTGTACTGCAAATACTATGAGACTTTGAATTTAGTAGCAAAACCAAAAAAAAATCCCCTTAATAATAGACAAAATATTTTGTTTATTTATCCTAAAATAAAAGTGTTCCCACAGCTGTGATGGAGATCAGGACTCAACCTGAGGACAGCTGTTATAAACGATTTGACTGTAGCCTATAAACCCTGAATCTGTGTGTGACAGCATACCTGTAGTTTGAAGTGTAGAAAAGTACAAGAGGTCAATTAGATCTGTTAGATTCTGACATTGTGTCAGGGATAATTAATAGTTATGAATAATTTATTAAGTTACCACTGTTGTGCCATGTGTGTAAATATGCACAGCACCTCTCTCACTTTAGAGACGCACATTACTGTATCATTTCTGATAAACTAAGAATCCAACAAACAGCTATAGGGAACAAATATACCTTCACCTTCACTGCGATACCATGGTTTCCTCACGTGTGATTTGTTTAAGCAGAGTGAGAACATGAGCCTGAATGAAGACATCTCATGCCAAAAGTGTGAGCGTTGGCAACTCTGTATAAACACACCGCCATTTATAATACCAATTTAGATTTAGAGACGGCTAGAACAAATGAAGTCTGTTTACTCCTTCTGTTTTCTTCTCTCCCACTTGCTGTCATCCTGTTACCTGGGAGGTGAGTAATGCTGTTTGTGTGGTCTGTCTTAATGTGCCCCGCTCAGTAATCTTCATGTACTTTCAGAGGGCTGTTGTCCAGTAATACTCTCCATCTCCATCTGAGAGGCCTGTGGAGAGCGGAACAAGCAATGCAATCAGTGGCTCATCTTACTGCCAACAGAACTGGCCTCTTCTCTCATGAGAAAGCAGTCGCAAATCACAGCTCTGCTTTGAACTCTGTTCCAGTGCAGCCAATCAAATTAGTAAAATGCTTGGTTTCATGCAAAGAGATCAACTCTTGCTTATCTGGCACAGACTTGCATACGAGGGAGATGTTTTGCTGCGACTGCCTTTGTACTGGCAGCCAGAATTGGGTGAGATCTTAACGGGAGGCTCTAATTCTGTACAGTATCAGACAGCTGATGCAATCAGGATGTTACACACACACAGACTGTAGACAAACATAGGGACAGTGACTGTAGCATCACCAACATATTTCTAAAGGGACTGTTTGAAGCCTGGGGTTTAGGTTTACTAAGGTGTAAGAAGCTAAGTGATCCAACTTTCAGTGAAAGGGTTGATGTCAGCATTGACCTGAGGTGAGGCAAACAAGAAGCATGAGAGTTGACTGTGATTGGCTCAGAAACCTGTCAATCAAGACAAACTCCTACACGCCTACACATACACATATATTCAAGCTTCAATACCCTCTGAAAAATCAGGAGTGCAAAGGCACACAACATCACAATGTGTTGACTTTGGATTTCTTGAGAGAGGTGTTGGGTTTTCCTATTGAAGTCAATACAGAAGTTTTATAATGTTAAGAAGATTACAAGCTACAAGGTAGATATACAGTAAATTTATCATATTGCAACACAGGGTTGTATAACAAGGTTAAGTTGTAGTTCCCTTTAGACTACGCAAAAAAACCAAACGTTGATGGATGAATAAATAATAAGCCATAGAAATAAAAGTATTTTACATGGTGGAGTGCTGAGGATGAATTAAGGCGTCTCAATGCTTGAGGCTTAAGGTTTTTGACCACTGGTGGCGCTGTGGTCACTATTGCTCACACAGAGGAAAGTCCATGCAAGCAGGAGGTGGTAACTTTCCAAGAACTGTAGCGATGTACGTTTCATATTCTTCCTAGAATCAACTCTGCGAACAAATGTATTAGGGTTCAATGATAAATATGCATCTTGCTAAGAAACAGTTAATGTAACATTACTGTATATTTACCAGAGTTACCAGTTTTGTATTTTTCATTAGTTTTTATTTCATTTAAAAGTTATTTTTGAGTTAGTTTCCAGAGTGGCTTTGTTTGTTCCAATTTAGTTTTTGTTGATTGAAAATGTTTAGTTTTAGGTTAGCTTTTACTGGTTTCAGTATTAGCATTAGTTTTTTTTATATTTATCAGACTTAAGAAGTATAGAAACAGGTACAGTACAAACACACTGATTCACACTGACATTCCAGTCTCAATATTCAGTTACTAAAATGTTTCATCAGACCTAGTTTTATTTTTTATTTATAGCTATAATAACCACAAGGTACTTTAACTTCTATAGGGCATTAGATCAACTTCATCTTAAGCAACTTGGCTTTAACACAAGGCCATTTTGTGAATTCATCCGGCTCCTGCAGAACATTACGTCACAAAATAGATACACACTGCAGCATCCAGAGTAACTCAAGTGGTTCAGTCTTTTTGTCCGTTCACTGGGGACTCACCAGTTCATTTAAAAACAAAAACTAATTTTCACCTGTTCTCCCAGTAGTTATGTACAACAACAACATGCACTGCCTCCAGCACCTGACTCGATGATGACCAGATGTGGACCAGATGTTTCAAATACACAAATACAGTACTTCTAATGAATCCAGCTCAACACTCAATCACTTTCAGTTTATTAGTTTTAATTTCCCCCTTCTGTTAATCTTAAAAAATAAATATGAGACCGACATTCAATATTTCAGCTTCTGTTTACAATCTTATTTCTTACTTATTTGCAGTCATTGATAACAAGAAAGAAAGAAAAACTAATAAATCTGCTCCGACAGCTGAACTCCAGATACAATTGGAATATGAGTGCATGCCGGCATGCTTGTTGAAAATGAAATGTCTAGCAGTTAGTCTGTGACTGTAGATTTTGGGTTTTTGGCAGCAGAATCCCAGGTTTTATTCCAAACAAGATTTAAATCTACTTTAGCATCTAATACATCAATTTCCATCTTGTGTCTGGTAGTGTTCAGGTGGCCTGTTGGAGTTGGTTAACAGGAAAATTATTCCACCTGATGGATGTGGCACTGAGACCAGGTGGCTCATCATAAAATGGTCTGATCAAGGTACGCCTGTTTTGTGATAGGTTAAGGCTGATTTTTACATGCTCAAGGCACACGTACACACTTAGTGTGATAATCAGTTTGGATGCAGTCTGGATGTGGTGTTTTTTTTACTGGTTTGTCCACAGCAGACTCACAAATCTTCTCCATTTTGTGTCCTCTCATAAATTAACTTGTAGACACATTCAATCATGTCCAACTGTGCAGGTCTAACTGTGTATTTGATGATTGGCTGACTAGAACTTTTGTAGATACAGAAGTGGATAGACTGTAATCCTCACTATTTTTCTGTCCCTTTTGAAGAACTTTTAAAGAACTGGCCTGATGTTTTGTGACTGTTCCTGCTGACTCAACCCAGTCCCCTAAAAAATACACTATTTTACAACAGCAAATATATTCTGAATGAAACATAATCCTTTCCAGATTACTTTATATCAAAACATTGACATGTACCAAAGTCACAAAATATTCATACTGAATCTATCTTTAAGACATTCACATATTACATTTATTTTACCTTCAAAATTGTAACTAACCACACATATTTTGTGTTGTTTTAATGAGCAAGTAAAGGAACCACTGACTTTCTCATCTCCTTTATAAGCCATAGTGTCATTGCTCTTTATGGAAGGCAATGTTGGTCAGTCCACCACTTTGTTCCAGATATCTCAACATCTACAGGAAGGATTACCATCAGATGTTGAGCAGACATTCATGGTGCTAAGACAATAAATCATCTAGTGCCACCTTGAAGTTGACATTTATGGTTTTTAGTGAAAGGTCTTAACAACTATTGGATGGACTGCAGTGACATAAACACAATGATGTCCCCCTCAGGATGAACTGTAATCATTTTGGTGATCCTGGCTGAGCCTTTTCATCTAGCACCATTATCAGGTTTGTTTAACATCCACATTTTAGCATTGTCATTGTGAGCCTGGTAACATGCCGACGTTAGCATTTAGCTTAAAGAACCGCTGTACCAAAGTACGGCTTCACAGAGCTTCTATCATGGCTTTGGAGTCTTGTTTGACTTTATCCACTTCAGCAAAAAAAAATCAGCAAATGCTAAATACTAAATAGATACTGCATCTTGCATGCTATTGGCAAATGTTGTGTTGCATAGCAACCACAGCAACCTAACACTCCTTGTACCCTTTGATCTCCTGCTCTTTCTGTTATTTGTTGGGCTCACAGTTTCTCATTGTGAAAAATTGTCTTTTTTGATAATGGCAAAAAGGACAGATAGATGCACACAATGTTTCACACAACAAACTTCCCCCAGAGCACCTATTACTTGCACCTACCTAGTGAGTAAATGGAACTACTAAGACAGAGGAGTGTGTTTACAGCTGATACATGACACAGAGTGGACGAGCTTGAGGTGGCTGCTGTGGTTGGAGGGTAAAACTAAACCAACGTTGCTGTTTTCTGTTTTTGTTTAACTCTTCTCTAAAGATGACACACTCTTGGTTGTGTGCCATTGGTCATGCCGCAGGCCAAACCCTTCCTGAATTACATAAACAGCTATTACAATGACAGAGAAAACATGGAGCCTGCTGAAACGTAGTACATCAGTACAGTTGAGCAAAATCTTAACATGCTGCTGTAACACTCAGATATTAAGTGTCATATATTGTAAAATATGAAGTCTATACTCTCTTTGAAAATAAACTCATGACTATTTATAAAATCAATTACATGTCAGAGTCAAAAAAGGTTCATATGTATGTTTTCATTAGTGCATAATCACCTAATATAGGAATCATTGTGTTTTCAGCACCTTTCAGCCGTTTTTATCTACATATGTCGCGGGTCAACTTCCACGGAGTCCGCCGTGGAGTCTGGTTAATCCCCAGCCAACGTAATAGGCTGTGAAGTGTTTCTTCTACACACTTTAAAGCCCCTTCTCATTCCCAGGTTGTCAAAAACAGACGTAAGCCGTGTTCAGTTAGCTGCAATCTGAAACTTCACAACTAGATGCCACTAAGTCCTTCACACTGGTCCTTTAAAGTGCATATAGTAGTATTATGTAGTAGTAAGTATGCAGATATTAAACACATGCTATTTGATATCATTTTCAAGTGTTAGGACAATTACGGAACAACTTCTGTGCTTTTAATGTCTGAATTAAATGGTAATGAAATTAATGTCAACCTCATATTACGTAGATCAGAGAGAGTCTGTTGTCTGTGCTCTAATTATAAGGTGAAACGCAGAAATGAAAGCTGAGGCGTTGCCAATCCAAAATGCTGTTGGAACGACTGCTTTACAAAAGGATTGTAATGACAGGATGAGTGGGAAAGCGTGCTACTTAAATCCCTAGATGAATGGATTGAGGGAATGGCCATTTCCATAAAGTGATAGAATTTGCCCCAAGCTTGTTTTTGTACCCACAAATCCCTTGCAATCCTACAGATAACTGGAAAGAAGAAAAAGATTTGCACATTACACAACTGACTGCCATGGGAAACTCACACAACAAGTGACAGATGAGCATCAGACACCCTGACAGCGACAGCTTTAACTCAGCAGGACTGATTACCTGACAAAATTATAACTTCTTAGGGAATAGTGCATGGCATGTAATCAAATGCACAATTAACACTGCAGCATATGGCTCAGCTGGCAGTCAAGTACAAGATGTTGTAAGTATGTAAATAAGACAGCATCATACAAGGAAGGCACAAAAAAAAACGCAAATTGAAAACCAAGGCATACTCATGTCCATTTATGTTTTTCTTTGCTCCAAAATATAAAATAAATGTAATTTAAACTGTGTTCA